CCTAAGACGAGTTCGGACTTACGCTTCACAACATGATTGTACAGGAGCCTAAAGAAGATTTGAGGATTTACGTCGCGCTAGGCGAGCTAACTTGAAGTCCTATGGGTTGTTATTATGCTAGGAAGAGATAATGCTGAAGAAGATCCTCTTGGTGCTCGCTCCAAGCTCCTCGTCGTGCTGCCCACAAAGTTAGCTCCAAACTCCTATCATCGTGACAGCTCCAGGGTTTAAGTGTTTGAGATTGGTAGTTTATGGTTCACAATTTTGGTGTCAATGTTTGGTTTTGTTTTATTTTAGTTTTGGTTTTGCATGGAGAATAAGCAAATCACAGGTGAATAAAATGTACTTGAAAGGTAAGATGCAATAAAGTAAAATGTTGTAAATAAACTGTAAAAGCGTACCTGGGCATCTGCTACTGTTGCGTTATTAATGTTGCGAGCAAAGTATGATTTGCAGCAGAGATTTGCGGCAGATTTAAATAAACTTGCAAGAAAATTAAACAAGACGAGAAAACCCAACGCAAAAGTTAGAAAAATGAGTTGTAAAAAAAATCACGAGCAAAAGAAACCCTTAGCCACATATGAAAGATCAGGACTGGGTATAAGACCTTGGTAAAAGTGGGGGGCTCAGAGCTGGATTGTGTGCTTCCCGATCTTGAACAAGAGTTACCGGCCCGACAATCTACAGAACTTACCCTCAGTCCGAGTGACTAACCGTGGACCTTTATAAATTTTCTTTCATAGAAAGATTTTTATGCAAAAGTTATTATTTAAGTCTTTTTTTATATGCAGAGTTCTTTTAATCATTTAGCATGCAAAAAAAAATTTTATTTTATTTTTGTAAATATTTTATAAAGTCATACTGTCCACAGACTAGTCACTCTACACTCTAATCGTGCTAGAACCTAGAACTACTGACAACCTAAGGGTGTCGGGGGCAACGATCCTACCAAGAATCGGCGAGTAGTATCATAGGTCCTTCGCTCTCCCTTATTGAAGATCCTTGAGGTAGGAGATACTATTCTAATAATCTATCCTTGTATCCCTCGTTTAAGCACACATAAGCAAGGTCGTCATCGCCCTCGCCACCTAGACCCTAGACTTATCATAGTCTGATGATCCACATGCGGTGTTAAGAAATTTTCCCAATTGCTAGGAGAATTTGAGTGTAATATTCAAGCTCAAATCCCGGTGCACTGGGTTTCTTAAGCCTTGTGGATATTTCACTGTTGATTTAATTAAGGAAGCAAGGGTCACGTCTCGGTGCATCCTGATGTCCAGTGTCTTGATCAGTTTGTGAATCAGGGTCAAGTGTCAAGTTTCATTATTTATTCAAAAATTAGGTAGATGAACGCTCACCTAGGGTGTGCTCCTAAAATCTAAGAAGTCTATGCTGAGAATTAGGTGGATGGACTCTCACCTAAGGTGTGCTCCTAAAATCTAGGAAGCCTATGTTAAAAATTAGGTAGATAGACTCTCACCTAGGGTGTGCCCCTAAAATCTAGAAGCCTATGCTAAGAATTAAGTGGATGGACTCTCCTTTAGGATGTGCTCCTAAATTCTAGGAAGATCATGCTGAGGATTAGGTTGATGGACTCTCACCTAAGGGCTCACCTAAGGTGTGCTCCTAAAATCTAGGAAGCCTATATTTTAGCTTGTGCCTAAAATGATGATCTACCCCCAAAAGTGTTTCCCAAGTAATTAAATCAGAAATTCACATTTTTAACTTGGCCATTTAAAAATAAAGAAAACAAAATAAGAAAGAGGTCGACTCACCTCTAAAACTAGCAAAGCCGAAAGGGGAAGGAAAAAAAAAAGTAGGTGGGTCAATCTAAAAGCGTTTAAATGATAATCAAGTGAAACCTAAAACAGTAAATAAAGCTCCCAGATCCAGCCCTAAAACAATAGACAAAGCTCTATAAATCCAGCCCCAATACAGTAAATAAAACTCTACAACTCCAGCCCCAAAACAGTAAATAGAACTATCAAAATCAGCCTCGAAACAGTGGGCAAAACTCAAAAAATCAGCCCCAAAACAGTGCTAAAATGATGCCCAAACGGTGTCAAATCCATGTCAAAATTAGCCCACAAAATGCCTTAAACAACATTTAACTATGTTCCAAATAATACCCAATAGCTCTCACAACACTCCAAAAGCTTTCATAGCATTTTTAACACATCCAATCAGTAGTTCGCAGCACTTGTAAGCTACCTACAACAACCCAAACTACAATTTCAGCACTCAAATAGCACTCTAAAACACTCCAAATTAACACTTCTAAAATCTTCAAACAACGCCTATATAAACCCAAGACAAACACTTTCAAAACAGCTCTCAAATCAGCCCCTTTTGAAAGCTTCAAACAACATTTTAGAAGTTCAAAGACAGCACATAAAACAACTCCAAATGACATGTTAAGCCCCAAATCGACGCTGAATGCAAAAATGAAGTTCAAGTGTAAGATATGTAAATTCATGAGAACTGGATGATACATATGTATGCAAGTGGAAACACAATATCAAGACCACAATTCATGTAATCTTGCAATAATCTAACATTCCAAATATATATAACCAAAGAGATTCATCACTTTTATTACAAGCATTTATGGCATGCAACTACAAGGCAAATGCATGGATGTGAAATTTTGATTACCATTGGCAAACCCATATATGATTTGTTACGATTTACACTACATCAGCTTGGACAGAGGAATTCGTCAAGAAAATTTTGCATGAATGTCCAAATGAATTTATTAAGACACATCCCACACAAATATTGAAATAAAATAGCAAAAATCAAGTGGAATCTATCATATTTCATACAAGCATCTCCTGCATACACATTTCGTTTTATTTTAGAAGTATCAAACACTAGCATGCTTGCATAAATAAAAGAAAATCATACAGAGATTTGTTTTGAGAGAAGATATACTTTTAGGAGAGCTTTTTTCAATCAAGAGGAAATAAAAGGACACCTTGGTTTTGTGTTTGTTAAGATTTGGTCACTGCCCCCTTGCTAACAACGATCGTGATTCGCTGAAAATTCAGTTGGGAGGGCAAATGATTTAAGGCAAAATCGGAAGCAGAGGCTGAGAGAGGCGAGCAAGGGTTTCGGTCTTCGCAGAGAGGAGGTCTTCGCAGAGAGGAGCGAGAAGAGGCGTGGGCGCGTGCTCAGAAGAGGTGAGGGGATTCGGCGTGGGTGGTGGGATCGAGCAGGCGAGGAGGAAGAGGGAGTCTGCGACTTCGGTGCGGTGTCTGCGACTTCAGTGCGGTAGACGAGATCGAGCAGAGCGGCGGCTTCGGTGCGGGAGATGGGATTGAACAAAGCAGAGGATGGGGTCTACGGCTTCGGTGCGGTAGACGAGATCGCGAGCAGATCTGCGGCTTCGTTGCGGGAGACGGGATCGAACATAGCAGAGGATGGGGTCTGCGGCTTCGGTGCGGGAGACGAGATCAAGCAGAGCGGAGGATGATCCCTTTTGGAATCCTCTCTAAAGGCTAATTACTATAGCCAGCCGAAGATTCGAGAGGGAGTCGTTATGTGAAAGCTTTGGCGAGGAATTAATTTGTTTTTCTTTAACAGAGGAGTTTATTTGGTATAACACATCTCCTAATTAAATTTTATTAAAGTTGGATTAAATATTTCATTTGAAATTTGAAATTCTCATTTGAAATTTGAAATTTGAAATTCAAATTACTTAACTCTCGTTCAGGCTCGAGTCCAGCCTGAATCGAATCCGAGTTGAACATAAGTTGAGTCCGGGTCCGCGTCCCGTTAAAAAAAACATGCATCAATTTTCATGTCATTTGTGCCGCGCGTAAACCTAGCAATATGGGTGTCCTTCCCGGCTAAAATTAACATTCCGGACGCGCTGACATAGTCCATTTCGTCATTTGGGGTCGTTCGGACGAATTTGCCGACGGGTGAGTCGATTCAAGTCAAAGTCGTGTGTGGTGCAATGAGTGCGTTGCTGAGTCGCCGAGGGTTCACCTAAGGTCGTACGATCCTGTAGGAACTTATTTTTGGGTTGGTCCTTAGCCCTTGCAACTACAAGTTGAGTGCTTGGAACCACTCATGCGAGTTCTTCACAAAAATGAGTCAAGAAGCGGTTTGAAGTTCTACGAGAGGTGGGCTCCAATACTAGTCCGCTAGGATGGTCAACAAGGAACTCCTAAGGCTAGATTATGGGTTCTGGGAGTAGGAGACTAAGACCTCACTAAAAATGAGGTCAACAAGGATGTGCCTTGAAACTTTCAGAGAATTTATATCCAAAAATCTGACAAGAGAAGTAGTAGATGGCATATTTTCAAAGTACCTTCTGGCAATATTCAGATATCGGAGACCCAATGCACACTTAACGTTATTAACTTTAAGCTTTTGCCATCACCTTTTCCCTTCCAGAAGAAACTTATCCTTATGCAATCAATTTTATTAATTCACCCCATGAGGTATGCAAGAGTAAAAAGTAATAAAGAGTGATATAAGAAAGCATTGAGTTCATTAGAGTGAGTTGTTAACCTCTAGATGAACGATTGCCCTTCTAGTTTGAAAGTTTGGAACAAATTTTGTTAATAACATTCTACGAGTCTTTTTTAAGTCTTTTATCTTCAATGGTACATTGGTGTTAAACAAGAAGCTTATCAAGGGAATTACCCATTATATTGTCCATTTTTCAAACTTCTTATTCTTGTTCGCCTCCAAGTAATTAGAGAAGATTTTGAGAAATGAATATTGAGACATTTTTTTTCGAAAGAGAGGATAATATTCATTACAGCTTGAACCCGAGCAGAAGTAGCCCCGCTTATTATTGATTGTCACTAACATTTGGGACTCAAAAAGATTTAAACTGATTTGATATTTTTTCCCTTGTTTTTCTAATAGATTATTTTGCAACTACAATGCTACATGGTTTTTCAAATTGCTTTTTTTTCATTATAATATCACCTAGATAGATTGTATATTTTAAGTTTCTGATGGACCTTATTTGTTTCCTGTAGATATCATATACAAAAAGAATATTAATTCTGCAAGTGTGCTTGAATATGCACTAGCTTTTACAAGTGCAGCATTGGATAAGCATTACAGCAAGCTGAGTGCAAATCCAAAAACTGGATTTATTGACATCACCACTTCAAAGGATTTTTATCGGATTTTCAGCGGTCTACAGTTTGTGAGTATAAATATTTTTTTTTTGTTTGCATTATTTGATTTAAAATTTCATATGTAAATGATGATAGAAATATACTTTGGGCATGAGAACCAATATTTGGAGGCAGAAAAACACACGTTCTTATGTATAAATGAGTAAAGTGTCAAAATAATCCCAGTCATTTTAGTCTCAAAGTCTATAAAAGTGACAAATTAGTCTCTAGATTTATTTAATATGGGTTGAAAAGTCCTCAGAGATTATTTTTGCCCTCAACGAAAGGAAAAATTATTGCATCTGGAGTCTCGATGCAGTTTTCCATTAGGACTCCAATCAGGGTCTGTCGCGTGTACAGGCATTCTCATTCATGTATTAAATTATTTTTTTTTTTACTAAGGTAGGTCTGTCTGTACACGTGGTAGGCCCTGATTTGAGTCCTGATGCAGTTTTGCATCAGGGTACACGTGGTAGGCCCTGATTTGAGTCCTGATGCAAATGCACTCTTTATGCAATAATTTTTCAAAAGATTCTAATTACTAAATTTATATTTTTATACTCTGTGATTAAGATGGGCATCTAAAAGAGTTAGGGGATGATTTTACACTAGTCTTTTAATAAAGGCATTGGCAATTTGCACGTAAAATCTAGTGCTATTATCTTTTGTGGCTTTCTTTGTCTGAACATCTACATTTATCCCACTACTTGTCTTCATCCTATTCTTTGGCCTCCCCGTATTTTTCCTCAACTCCTTTGAGTCTCTAAGGAAAAACATTTTTTATCCTACTACTTTTAGTGGTGGAAAACTTGAACAATTCTTGGGTACTATCATGTTTTGTTGGAAATTTTGGGAATCGTACCTCTAGATCACCATCCTATTTGGAAATAAGTTAAAAATTATCTATGCCTCTCAATGTTTCTCGTACTGCCTTCTTCTAAATTCTCTGTTTTATTCCTACATATCACTTGTGTTAATATCTATTTATTTACCCATACTTTCCAAGCGCGGAACATGAGAACATGGAATAGGGTAGCTGATATAAGTTCTTCCTCAGGTTTAGCTCTTTGTAAGTATCATATTTTATTGAATTGCATAAATGATTGTTTTTGTAACGAGTGCCTTGGTGTCACTGAATTATTTTTCATATGATTTAACAAGTAGTTTCCAGAATCATTGATTTCTGGATATATATGCATTACAGGTAGTGAAAATTTAAACTCATGGATGAGTGCTTTCTTCTAAGAATTTCGTATGTTTAATCCCTAAACTCTTAAAAATACTATATATCTTTAAGGACCATGCTTGTTTCATTCATCGTTTTGTTTATAATGTTACAACTATAAATAATATAATGAAACTAAAGAAAATCGCTTAAGAAAATGATGCATAGTTAGTCTTCTTTTCAAACTCGTAGTTGATATTTGAAATATGCACATTTAATCGAAGAAATTTTTGACTGCTTGCCTGAGTGTATGAAATAATTAATGAATGGGAACTGAATAAGGTATCATTATAAGGAAGGCATTGTGGCTCCAAAAGTTTGCATCTGGCGCTTCTAAGTTGTCTTTTGGTTAAATTTTTGGAACGTAAATTGGATTTTAGCTAAAGCACTACTCAGAGATTTCACGCTCATTTTATGAGGGCTACTTAATCTAATTTCAAGTTTTTCATGGGTGCCAGTCTTTATAACTAGTTGCTTTAGATTATGAGAGAATTTTCAATTAAGCTTTGTCGCCATATGCTAATGTTTAGCATATCGTAGGCGCAAGCCTCTATGGCTAGTTGCTCTAGATCATGAGAACGACTTTTCAATTAAGCTTAGTCGCCATACGCTAATGTTTAGCATATCGTAATAGCAAGAATTTTTTATATTAGAGAAATTCACCCACGTCAGGTTAGGTCTGAGTGAATGGGGTTCATTATCTTGAGTTGTCATGAACCTTAGTTTACGTATTTCAACGAGATGATCAAACTAATATGACTAAAGAATTATTGTCAAGAACTATTGTTACGTCATCTAAAAAAATTTTGTAGATATAGGGTGGATGTATATCTAACAGGTTATTTTTTAAGAGTTAGCAAAGGACTTTGTGTCCTTCAAGGCACTCTATAGTTTATTACTCATAAGATTTATGCCATTAGGGATTTTTTTGGCTCTAAATGTGAGCATAGTTTAATGACATTATTTTGTGGCAAACTACCCAATCAAAATGAATCAAGGATAAGCATAGTTTTAATGTCATTTGATGAGAACAATACTCGAAATAGTACAATCATGACCAGAATTAGAAAATTGCATTTCATTCATTTATTCATTTACAAAAAAAGAGGGTGGTACATCACAACAAATCCTCAGAATTAACCTAAAAAAAGAAAAAAATTAACTAAATAGTTCTTTAGCGTTTCACCTGGCAAACTCTCGGTGATGCAACCGTTCGTACAAATTCATCACCCAACTTGAGAAGGTCATTCTGACCATTCTTCAATTGAGTGGTGAGGCCCTCCCGATCGGCCGACAGCTCCAGACATAAGCGCCTCGTCCCCCCAAACAGTGAGCATCTTCCCCCGAAAGACAGAAAAATCCTCGCGCAAAGCAACAACCTCTTTTTCCACCCAATCGACCCTCTCAAACACCTCAGCAACTTTTTTGTCATTATCTTCCCGGGGATATCCCATGACACGAAGAAAGCGTTCCTCCATTTCAGCAACATGATGCACCAAGAAGTCGGAAGACACCCAACGCATCTCGGTTACCTCCTCTCACTTGCCACACCAGAAGAGATATAATAACCCACATTCTATAGAGAAATTCTCCTCCATCCTCTATTTTGTAGTATCCTGCGCCACAGCACCCTGAGCCACGGGTCATTCCTTTCTCAGTTTTATAGTTTCCACTCCTTTCGCAGCGACTTGCACAACCATAATCGCATCGTCCTCAAGGACAGCATCAGTATATGATGAGATGGAATCGACTGTCAGGACTTTAGTAATTACACCAGAGAAAGGGATACAAAAGGCATAATTCAAGCTACATACCCAAAAGTAACACCCTCACCGGTCTTCTCTAGCCCTCCACCCACAGAGGAAAGGCCACCCCTTGGTGGTTGAAGCCATGGCTCAGCTTTGGTCGTCGCCTCCACGAGACCTCCTTGGGGAGTCATGGCCCCCACGTAGTCCGAACGAGCATTTATTTTCCTCCAGCGGGAACATCCATCTCTGAATGGTGCCTTGTAAGACGATCTTCGGAACGGCCACCAGCCTGCTCCAAAGCCCTCTCCTGCTCTGCATGGAAACCCGAAGATCCAGCTCGATCCTAGTGCTCGTCGGTTCTTAACTTCTGCACAACCCTTTTCTTACCTATCTCCCCCGCAAAAGCTTCACCCGCCGGTTTACGCTTCACATCCAACTTTGGGCTTTCGCCCGTATAGCCCTCATAGTCTTGAAGAGTGCATCTTTGTCAATAGTTGGCGTTCCCTCGTCGGACATCGTGGCATGCAAGAGGAATCAAAGGACAGGAAGAAGGGAGATGGCACAAACCTTTCCTTTCCCATGGCTTATTTATTGCCGGTCTGAGCACTGAAATCCATGGAAGTCCATTATTAAGTGATAATGACATTTAATTCGTATTTTTTATGTATTTTTTGCACCATTGAAAAAGATTTTCTTGTTCTTATGTTTTGCACGGCTTTCAAAAAGTGAAAAAAATCAGAGAACTAAATATGTATATAAAAATATTTTGACACGAACAAATGGACAATTCATAAAAAAGTGGCGACTGATTGCGTAACCGGTCGATTGTAGCTATTAACGACTGACAAAACAGATGCTGACGAAAAAAATATGGGACTAATTTGAGAAGAGATATTTGAAGTGAAAAAAGAAAAAAAGATTATTAAATCGTTCGAGGAGAAATATTTTAAGGCTGCTTGAGGAGGATGACTAGAGGGAAATCTATTCTGTAAAAGTTAATTTTCAGGTCATAGATTTGAATCAATTAAGTATGAAAGTACATATGGAGTGTTTTAGCTCTATTTGACTAACGAGTCATTATTTGGAAGAATGTAATTTGGGACCAATTTGGCTTTATTAGCACGTATTAGCTGCTGTGGATAATTGTCAATAAGATTTGCTTGCCTTTATAGAGTCAAGGCTGCTCATAGTTAGAACAACAAAGGCCGCGGAGAATGAAGTTGAAAATTTGCTTCCCATACTTTGTATTGTCTATAAATAAGGGTTTGATAGTGATTTTTGGAGAAAATGTGGATTGATTTAATTTTAATGATTTATTTTATGGTTCATTTACATACATACAAACCAATTCCTATGTACTTGCATATCTAACACCTAAACATTAACTTTTACCTTTACACCATCCAAATCTTTCATATCACATTAAAATTACCATTATTTTAATTTTTTAAAGTCATAAAACAGACCTTTTAATGCATATAGATGAGGTGTCATGCAAGTAAAAATTGAAATATAGGTGTTAGATATGTAACTACATAGGAATCGAGTGGTATGTATGTAAATCTTGTATTGTTTTCTTAGGGGCGTTTACATACATATCACACAATTCCTATGTATTTACGTATCCAACACCTAAACATTCATATTTACATGCATATCACTCAAATCTTTAAAATCACTTCAAAAATGTCATCATCACTATATTTGTAAAGTGAAACACACATTTTAGAGCATAGGTTGATGCACCGAAGTATTATAAATATAAATATCAAACTTTGGGTATTAGATATGTAAATAAATCAGAATTTTGTGATATGTATGCAATTTTTTTCTATTTTTTTAACAAATGCATCCATAGACATAGCAAGTTTCCCTGTGACCCTTCATTTCTCGGACATATTTTATGTTATTCATCCTCATTGCACATAAAGATAGCTTCCATATGTTTTTCGTGTGGTGGATTTATTAATTTTGATGCTCTGAAACCTCGAAAAGCTATCCGTTCTACGAAACAAGCGTCCGTCGAGTTATATTCTATTGTAAGGGGGTCATCCTGAATTGTTTAAATGCAATGTTGTTGCATCCATTGATTGATTTTTGGCCTTGATTAGATTGATTTTGCTGTTCACACACAGAGATCAAAAGGCATTATTACAAGAACATAATAATGAAAATTCACTCTCTATTTTTTTGTAAGGAATACTTGGAAGAGATTGTTCTTGATTCTACTTCCAAAAAGCTTGATTCATTGGGGGACTCAGTTGCATGGGCTGGCTGTACTATCATCTATTTGCTTGGCCAACAGCTGCACTTTGAACTCTTTGATTTCTCATACCAATTCCTCAATATTGCTGAAGTAGAAAATGCAGCCATGGCTCAAACCCAATCTTTTGACCGGGCCAAATCGGCGAATCACTCGCAGGTATCAACATCTCATTTTTATTGGTAACTAAAGCTAGAACTATTTAGTTTTTGGGAGATTTACATACGTAACACACAATTCCTATGTTTTTATATATTTAACATTCAAATTTTAATATTCACACTTATAACAGCTTTGTGTCATAAAATTATGCATGAAAATGTGTATTACTTTTAAAAAGGATGGCAATGGTGGTGGTATTATTGGTGTGATGTTAAGAATTTGAGTAGTATGCATGGAAATATGAATGTTTAGAGATTAGATATGTAAAATACATAAGAATGGTGCGGTATGTATGCAAATGGCCCTTGACTTTTAAAATTTTTTATTTATTTGTGGGGGTCATGTACATCCATATCACCTAATTTTTAGTTTTATATTTATACTAGTCAAACTTTCATATCACATAAAAAATACCATCATTTAACTTTTAAAAAGTGAAATATAGCATAAAGGTGCTATGTATGTAAAAAATTGAAGTTTTGGTGTTAGATATATAAATACATAGAAATTAAGTAGTATGTGTGTAAATCTTCCTTTTTATCCTGAGCGCTATTTACGTATGTCATACGCACGTAATTCTGCGTGTGTATGGCCCTGAATAACCTTCAAATAACTCAGTTATTGGGAGTTATTAAGAGGTTATTTGGGGTATTAACCCCGAAACATACCAATATATTCCGCAGTTCGGCGCTTATCTTTTTTCCTGTCATTCGAGGGTTTCGTGAGGTTATTGAGGGTATTAACCTCAATAATAGCGACATAACTTTGCAATACCCTTCAAATAACATTCATATGCACGTAATTCTGCATGCGTATGATGTACTTAAATATTTTTCTTTTATCTTTTTATTATTATTACACTATTATTATTATATGTTTGGGTTGATGAGAAGGGTTATGAGAGTCTGCTGGAAGCCATGAAGAAGGCTAGAAGGCTGAACAATCACGTGTTCTCCATGTTGAGAGCACGTTGCCCGCTGGAGGAGAAGATAGCCTGCGCAATAAAGCAGAGCGGAGCCCCACAGCCTCGAATCACCTTTGTTAACACGCTCTCCGCCTTCGAGACGCTGCCCCAGAAAGATCCCTGAACCATCTCTCTCTTTTTTCCTCTAGTATTGCTATGGTTCTTTTAGTTTTTCACCATATTTTGCTTGAATTTATGATTATAAAAACAACATTCATTGTTTATGACCAAAATGTTTTATTTAGGTTTTTCACCATATTTTTTTCCCAATCATTCTGTATGCAAAATATATTTTATTATGAGAATGATGATGATGATGAAATGATAAATATTTTACTTTAATATTTCAGGTTTATATTTTTTAGCCGCATACTTTTTGTTCAGGGTTTGTTTTGATATTTTGATAAATAGACTATGTTATCATATGTATGTGTTATACACACTAGGAGTGTAATTAAGCTATGCTGATTTGTGAGCTAACTTGGGCTTGGCTAGTGAGCTCGATGAGCTAACCAGCTAAGTTTAAACCAATCTGGACTCGACTCATTAAGGTTTTTCCCTTTATCTAGAAATTATTTAATATGTTTAAAAAATTATATTTTATATAAAGTGATCTATTATTATTTATCTATTAGCATTAGTTTATATTTCTATTTATCTATGAGCTTGAACAAGCATAATTATGCTTGAGCTCAAACTTTTACTTAGTTGATTAACTAATCTTAAAGCCTAGAATGGCTCAAATTAATTTTAAAATTAAGTGAAGCCTGTCATAAAATTTCTTAAGCCGGAGTTGCAATTACATGCTTTTGAAAATACATCTAGGGTTGTGCTCGATCCAATTTTGCACCGGCCATGCTCGGCTTGATTTTATTTCTATTGGCTTGAATTCATATTTTGGTTTGTTGCTGTCAATTTCAAGATTGTTTGGATCAAAATTTAATAGATCCTATCAAGCTCAAAATTAATTTATAAAAAAGTATCAAGTATCTGTTCTAAAATTAACTTTTGATTTTAAGCTTGATAGGATCAAGTGAAGTATCTGTTCTAAAACTTCAGGCAAGACCAATAAGTGCATCAGAAAATATCTTATAAGTACAACAAATACTCAAAGATTTATGTGGCATGGAAGACAAGTAAACTGGCAAATCAAATATTTAAAAGATTTAAAAGAAAAAATATGATGCATGTTAAACAATAAAGAAAAAGGATTCATCAAGCCAACCCAACCCCACATTGGGATTAAGGCTTTGTTGTTGTTGTGTTGTTTGTATTCAAATGTTAAAGATTTAAAAGAAAAAATATGATGCATGTTAAACAATGGAGAAAAAGGATTCATCAAGCCAACCCCACAGTGGGATTAAGGCTTCGTTGTTGTTGTGTTGTTTGTATTCAAATGTTAAGGAATATGGAATAGCAATTGGTCCCAAGTCCCAACACTACTATCACTACACACACAAAGCCACAAGTCATAAAATTTAGTACATAATCCACATACTCAATAGTAGAGAGAGTGCATTACAATCCATCTAAGTTCATAAAATCTTAGTCCAAATGTTCATAATAAACTGCAAAATGAAAAATGTTAGAAGAAGTTATTGTCCTAATTTATCAATTATGACCTCCTTGGAATAAGTTTTTTCAAATTTAAGATTCTACTCTCAAGCTTTCAGAAACACGTACAGTTAAGTTAAGTTTTCTTCTGCAAGAATGTCAAACTAAAATTGTAAAAGAGAATTAAACATTTATATAAATTTAAGAGATGATAAATGCAACATATAATAAGAAAATTATAATAATACAAATATTATCAAAGGTTCTTTTGATGATCTCTATGTTGATTGAATCCAATTACTAATGCACACTAAGACATCCAGTGTTTATGGTGAAATTAAGTTTTTATAATAATTAAGTGCATGCTCTCCTACACTAAATGCTAACTTAGATGCAAATGTTGTGATTGAAACAGTAAGAAAATATTTTATCATCTTAGAAAGAGTTTTACATTTCATGATGGATTTTTTACACCACTCTAAAATATTAAACAGTAGATAGGGGCATTTTATATAATCTTCTTCTAACTGTATCTCCAAGTCAAATTTTTTGTAAGTAGATGTAGTCGGATCTATGAAATCATACAAGTCAACCAAATTATCAAGTGAATTATTGCTGTCTTATGTTGTGATTGTCTAACTTGAGAGTTAGAGATGGTTGTCTGATTATTTCTTTTTTAATATGTTGTTTATCAACAAAATAAGAGTACATCTAAAAAAAAAAATTCGTACTATCATTTTTTTCATTCGAAATATCAACGTCATAAATTTGTGAATAATAGTAGTTGATGCGAATAATTTCAGTCTAGGATCTAACATGCAAGTGTTTGAGAATAGCATAGAACAATCGTTCTAATATTTATCAAACTTTGATTTTGTAGTTCTTGTCATAATGGAGATAAAAGGATTATCAGGTAAAACATTCTTTATCGAAATTTTTCTTAATGAGTATTAAATTGGGAATAATCATATTTATTGTTAGTTACTTTGAACATAAAATTTTTTTTATTATTCAATGAAAATTATGAAACAAATTATTTTCTTATCAAATTGATCCTAATCATCACCGGATGACAATCATGCATAATTTTTCAGGAAAGATAGTTTTATAATAAAATACAGTATCAAGTTTATTGTATGTGGAGTTCCCATGTATTGGCACATAAATGCATAATGACTTTAGTGTAGACAAATTAATCTATCATGCGACCTCACCAGATCGCTTTATAAAAAAAATTAACTCTTTAACATTTCTATAATCTTATCAATTTATTTCAAATCATATTACAATATTAAATTTAAAATATGAACAGTATAATGGACATGAAAAATTATCTTTCATAACGAAAAAACCGAACCTTTAGTAAATAATTCATTCAAATTTCTAGTAGTTGAATTATTTGATAATGTATTATCCAAAGTAATTATACTAACTTTATTTTGTTGAACCTATTATAACAAACTTTCAGAAATTTTTTTTAGGAATCACAACCCTATTATATGAAAGTTTTAAATCATTAAAACAAATTATCATGGAATGTAGTTTTTAATCATAACTAATATATTATATAGTAAGACATATATAACTAATAGTTGGTCTGATGTCCGACTATTAATATTAAGTAAAATTTTCTCAACTAATTTTAATTTTTTTTTAGTTTATCTTTCTCAACTTCACACACTTTCTTGTTATCTTTATAGCAAACCTTAAAATTTTATGATAGTTTAGATTTATTAATTTCATCAAAATGTTAAATTATTTGACTGTCATGAAAAGATATTCATGAGCAGTGGTTATCTTAGTCACAAGAGCTTTTATTCCATTATAATCATATGCAGATGAGACACAATAGAAATAGTCATTTTCATCAATATCTTCACTATTGGGTCAAATAATTTTTTTTTTATCTCTTTCATCAATTTTACTGTAGTGATTTATTATAAAATGTATGCACATTTTAGGTATGTTTGATAAGTTTTTTTAACAAAAGACTTCACACGATAATTACATTTTCATTTTCGTATAATTTTTTTTACTTCATGCGAATAATATTTCACTAAAATGTTGTCATGCCTCTATTT